TCAAATCGATCATTAAGTAGTCTGCTATTGCATTTGTACGTATATTTGCTGAGTTGCAGGTTTATTATCTTCACAGTGAACATAGTAGTTACCTAGTAAACTCACTTAATTTAATGTATAATAATAAGTATTAATGTATAATTGATCTTCATGGCGTGAAATAGATCCTGTTGACGGATTGAAAGATCGCGCTCAAAACTGGTTATTTTTGAGCTCGTTTTCGTTGCATTCTCGGAAAACTTGCAACAATGTCTGTTCACCTTCTAAACTTCAATTTTTTCTCATTGATTTAAAGATAATGATAAGGCATTGTGTGCCTGCTAAATACTAACCATGGGATTATCTATAATAACACTCAAATGAAAAGTCTCACAGATTCTTATCTTTCCCAATGAACACAGGGTTAAGCTGCTGCAAATCAGACCAAACCATCGATCAGACCAAACCAAACAAACCATCGTCATATTGGGCTATTACCATCGACCATTAGAATTCTGAATTCCCAAAACACAAAGAATGTTTGCCACATTAGTGGTTAAGCAGCACAATGGACAAAACTCTTCGCCATGAAATGAGAAGAAAGAAGACTTAAGTTGCCAGCACATAAGTTTCATTTTCCTTCAAGAAATTAGTGGACGAAGTTGCAAAAAAACTTCACGCCAGACTTCGAGTGCGCAATGCGACACAAAGCTTCCAACTAACGTGGCCAAAGCTCAAAAAGAATCTAGAAACGAGCAGCATTCGGAAAAACTTGGGACAAACGAGCATGAAATGTAGGCTTTAACATTATTTTGGCGACTAAATTGGGTGGTAAGGTTAAATAAATAACCATGGCTGACAATGCGAGACAAGGCTTCAGAATCATGCTGGAAGTAAAGAAAATTGTTAATGAAACTTCTGTAGGCTTAACAACATTTAACTGCGGAAGTATGTTACCCATCTCAGAATGGTACAAAAAGTGCCAAAACACAAACAAAGTGTTCAGTAATAACAAAATTCTATGAATTCTTATCTGCATTCACAGAACTACAGAAAACACCGAAGTCAAATCCCGAACCAATTGCCTCAATTAATATAAGCGCCAATCAGTTTAAAAAGAAAAACGGAAGTTAAACCGCAAAACTCTCTGTTCAACATCATAAACTTTGATAAGAAAATCAGATCTTTATTCTAAATAAAGTCGTGGAAACAAGACATCGAGCTAAATCACCCACGAACCACTCCAATTATATCACAGGCATGATGAATTTAACTTTCACCGACCCTCATCCCAGTAATTAAGTAATCCTTCTGATGCTCTCCTTGACCTCCCAAATATTACTCTCCTTGCCTCATGCTCAGGTCCCGATTGATCAGCTATTTGCAGCCGACGCTGCAATTTTGCCTGCATTTCCTGTATTTTTCTTGCAGGGTAGAGGGCCAGACCTGGCGTGACCAGACGCTCTTTAATGGCGCTAGAAAACCAACAAACGAGCTCATCATTTTTGCTGCCAAAAAATATAGCGGTGGCTGAGTTCGAAGTTATTATTACGATAAACAACAGCGGCAGCGTTTCATTTGCTTACAGACTAAACCCTGTTTTAGCGCTTAGGACTTGAACTTGAGATTATCTTGCCACAAGTTGATATACTTGTGTTTCGCATATTCTTCCGTAGGATAATGGTAATGCGGTTTCTTGATGTATTCGTACATACACTAAGAATTTAATATTACTCCCATACAACGCCATCTTATCTCATTTAGGAGACATTACTTGCATTAAGAGACCTTATTTGCAAAATTTTATCATTTTTACAAATTTTGGTTATAACCGTCAAACAAAAAACATAATTTTAGGATTAATCGGATATTAATCGGCCAGCATGTGGCGTCCCGACCCTCCTGTGGTAGGGGCCACGATCCATCTCCATTTTTAGACGAGCATTTCCACTTAATTACAAAGTCATCCCATTCAATTATTGAAGATGCTGGTTGTCCTCATCCCAAGAAGCTGCAATGCTTTTTTGTGCTGATCCATCCTGACGGTCCATCAGTCTAATGGCTTATCTAAATTCCGCGTAACGCCTGCAATTGGCAACTGGAAGTAACTAACTTTGCCCCTCCATAACGTGAAGATATCAACGTCTTTCTTGAGCTTATCAGGCGCAATTTTCTCAAACAAACTTTGGTATTATCTACGAATGTGATGTAGGTATTCCCATCATTTCCTATGACCTGTGGGCGGTGGATGTGTGAAAGTATTTCGATGAATATGAGGCAATCTCGTGATAGAGCCTTAATTATGAACGAGAAGTTGTAACATGTGAGCAAAATAGTATGGCACAACATAACATGCACCTGCGGTTGCTATTGACTGTCGCTTGTTTATGCAATGAAGGCATTACCGTACATCAAAGGGGCCTGTTGTTCCGACAAACAGGTTCTAGGTAAAGACTGTTCACTGTCCCTCTTTGTATTGATTATAGGTGGAATAAGGCTTGCCCCCTAACGTGTTCCTAATAAAAGGTTGGAAAATGTATGTAATTTATGATAACACTGTTATGATTGGCATGCCGTATAATAATTATTGGTTTATTTGAACCTGTATTTATCTTTGTTATTCTGAAATTTCTGAGCTCATCTTTAATTTTCTTTATTTTTCTTAACGTATTTTTCTCAATTGTTAGTCAGATTTGAGAACTGAACAAATGGTTCTTTGGAGAATGACTTGTCTGTCGTTAGGTAGAATATTCCGATAGGAGCCAATCAATTAGTGGAAGCCGAATGTGGAGGTCATATGTACACAGTGTAATTAAGTTCACGAGATCAAGTCAAAAACTATTGTCTTTCTTTTTATCCACCAAAGGTAGTGTGCTACCAAACTATACAATCCCATATGGCTTTTATACGTAAAGTGGTAGCTACGTGCAGACTGTGGCGGCGTGCGCGCCAAATATCTCGGTGTGGCACAAGCACTGTGGCAGGCTGGAGCAGTGCGGGGCAAGAGGGCAGGAGGTTCCAATGTCCTCTGGCCCCGCACTACTCCTGCCTGCCACGGTCTCAGCAGCAAGCACACTGAGATTTTCTTGCTGAGGCCAAAGCCCCTCTTCTGGACGCACTCGAATAGATGCTTCACCTGAGTTGGAGATGACAGGGCATAGCATCAGACAGCTGCAACTTGCAGCTGTCCGATGCTCTGCCGTGTCATCTCCAACTCTGCCGCCTGCAACATGATTGCTTATATGCCTGGCCATGAGCATGAAAATTTCACAACTAGCACGAGCTTGTCAAGTTGGTATTGCTGCAGCAATATCAACTTGACAAGCTCGTGTAATTTGCCATTTTCAGCTCCATCAAAATCAATGAGGTCATCAAGGAAATGCTCTTTTATCAACTTTTTGAGCGATGGAGTAGCTGATCTGAAGTTTTGTCCACAATCAATCTGTAATTTGAGCTTGGAGACAGCAACCATCTTCAACATCGACAGCAACCCGTTCATCCTTCGCCCCAGCAACCCGTTCATCCTTCGCACCAGCAACCCGTTCATCCTTCGCACCAGCAACCCGTTCATCCTTCGCCCCCAGCAACCCGTTCATCCTTCCGAATCAGCAACCCGTTCATCCTTCGCCCCCAGCAACCGTTCACCTTCCGAATCAGCAACCCGTTCATCCTTCCGAACGAGCAACCCGTTCATCCTTCCGAATGAGCAACCCGTTCATCCTTCCGAATGAGCAACCCGTTCATCCTTCCGAACCAGCAACCTTACCAATATCAACCAATGGAAGCATCTCGACAGCAATCCCTTCGATCTGAAAAGCAGCAAGACATCCTAGGTGATGTAGCAAAAGCATCATCTGACATGATTGAGGTGAGCACTTCTCAGGTTGAACAAGTAAACAAGGATTTGATCACAAGTGTTCCAAGTGTTAATTTATTGAATTTGTTGCCGGGAAAATTGGTTGAAATCCCGTTGAGTGTTGAGGATAGGAAACGGAGTGCATTAATTGATAGTGGGAGCTAGTGTGAATATTATAAAGAAGAGCATTTGTGACACGTGTGAAGGAGTTCTTGAAGAAAGGATCAAAAATGACATCACGGGTTTAGGAAGTGCCAAGGTAAAAACAATCGGTAGGACTAATTAGGAATGTGAAGCTTTGGGGTTAGGAAAATTTATTTGTGAATTTTATGTCCTTCCTGATCTTCTAACATTTGATATTGTTTTAGGTTTGCAATTTCTTCAATGTAGTGTCATAAATTTTAACATGTCTAAACGCATTGTTTCTACAGCCGATAGGAATGGAGGCAGCATTTCTTTTTATATTGATGAAGACGGCTGTATCACTCGTGTCATGCATGGAGATGTACCAGTTGTGGCTGCTATTGACACCGAATTGAAATGGCTTCAGAGTTACTTATGTGCCTGTTTCTGTTGATATTGTTTCATGTGGTAGCGAGCAAGAAAATGTTGCATATTATTATGAAGGAAAACCTAAAGAGTTCTAAATTAGAAAGCACTAGTGGCATAATAGGATTTGAGTCCCGAAGGTAATAGAGTAGTTGTGCAGTTTAGGAAAGGTACGTCGTCCAAGCAAGAACGAATTAAGAAAGGGGAGAGGTTAAGATTTGTTAGCACGTTAATATAAGTAGAGCCAGGAGAAGAATCTTTAGATATGTGGTCAGAAGAAAAGATACGCGATAAAATTAAGCTAGAAGATAACATCGATGAGGATCAAAGTCGTCTGTTGCTAGCATGTTGACCAAAACCCAGGCTACATTAAGCAAGAGCGATGTAGATATAGGCAGGGAGGGCTAAAGTAATTCCGCATAGAATAGAATTGAGCGAGAATGCACCAATTTGGGCAAAGGCCTAGGAAATTTTCAGAACCAGTTAATAGGGAAATAGACAGGCAGTGTTGAGTGTTGTTAGATTTAGATATAATAGAGAAAAGTGACTCGCCATGGAGTAGTCCCGTAGTGTCCGTTTTGAAGAAGCCAAGCCCCGGTAGTGTAGATACTGAAATATAAACAAAAAACTATGATTCAGTTTTAAACTGGTTTAATTGTCATAGCTTCCGTAACCTTTTGTTCTGTTCCTTGATTCTGGATGACGTATAAAGTAGCTACAACCTGAACATTTGATGAACTAATCTCACCCTTGCTACTATGCTTCACCTCCTTTTCAAGAATTTTCAGCAGTTCGTTGCCTGACTCATGACAGCAACTCCCGGGGTGCCCGTACAACTTCGCGCCCATACTGTGAATTTCAGTGTTCGATGCACGGGACGCCACATTGTTCAGCCTCGGTTAATTTACTGACTCTGATGGAGTAAAACTACTATTGGAAGCCCTGCCTGAAATACGGCCGGATACTTCGAAGTAACTCAAGCAAGGTAGTGTACGTCCTGGCGTTGGCATCGTCTGCTCTACGATGACTTCCTGCGTTTCTACGGCGGCTGTGACCACGACTTGTGCCCCAGCAATCTCTGGGCGGATGTGGACCAGCCACGGGGCCAGCCATGCATCAACTTTCATCGAAGGATTATTTGGTAAATTCAGGCACGTCACCCTTACCTCATGGGCATGGGGCATGCGGTTATGGAATGCTAAATACTGGTCCTTTTCACTTTAGACCCGAATAAAGAGCCCGTAATAATATTTATCTATTCAAGAATACCTTTGATTATTTTATCATTTCTTGGACAATTTCCTTTAAGATGTAGTTATTTATTTTGATTAAAAAACATGTGTTGAGCTTTTCGTCGACTCGGTAATCTTTCAGCTACGATGCTTGATCCTCTCAACCTTGTCTCTAGAGCGCCTTTTCCACATCGAGCCTTTTTAATTTCCGAATCATTTATGGCGCTTTATAACCCTCATTTCTTTCTAATTCTTCAGCATTAACGGGTTGGTGAACTTGGGAGCGAGTATGCGACTCCGTTGCCGTTTCACTTATTGTGAAGCGACTCGCTACCACAATTTCAGGGGGCAGCACAGAGCAAACTTGGGATTGATGGCATTTGTTGTCATCGTTATTCCTTCATTAAAGAAAAAATGCACCAACCATGGTTTGACTCGTGTTTTTGTTTGCCTTCGGATCCCCTTTAGTAACTTCTCGTTCTCAAAGTTTAGTTCAAAATTAGGATGTGCATAGATTATATGAAGCTCACAAGGAATTTAAAAGCAAAGAAAACGCCAAGAAAATACGTACTCCTTTGTCGACCGTTTGAAAGATTTTACCGATGTTCAGCACCTGACTATGGCTTCATTCGATGTGGAAAATTTGTTCACTAATATTCCTCTTGCAGAAACTATTGAAATCTGCCTCAACTCTTTGTTCAAGGATGTGAATTGATTTTATATTCTTGTCGTACCCCTAGGACTAAGTTGTTCATAACTAGTCCTGTTTATTTAGATATAATGTTAGGTCTTGTTTAGGTTTTATGTCTATCTTTGAATTTTGACCTTTAAAGTGATTGACTAATGATATAAGTACTTATATGAAGCTTAATTGGGAGGACCATTATAGAGAAGGTTCCTATGCCAAATTTAACATTTATACAGTGTTCATAATAGTACATTTTTCATCAAATTTAATCTTATGAACGGTTATTACTAAGTACCTTCAGATTATAGTAGCCGAACAAACGCCGCATTTAGCACGCCAACCTGTCGCTTTCAGTTCAAAACCTTATCTTTCGGTCTCAAAAAATAGCTGTATAGCGTTTCAGAAGAATAGCAGACGTTTGCTTCAATAACGTGTTAGTTTACAAAGATGACATACTGATTCTTGGCAAAACTTTCGAGGAGCATCTATTCTAGAGCTAGTAGAGAAAGTGCTTAACACCGTAGGTCAGAATGGTATGCAAGTGAAGAGCTCCAAATGTGAATTATTTAGGAGTGAGTTTAGTTTTCTAGGTCACGTCATAGGAGCAGAGGGGATTAAGAAGGCGCCAGAATACTTTGACAAAATTCGTAACTTTCCTAGACCGACTAATGTTACAGAATTGAGGCAGTTTTTATTGTCAGTTAATTTTGGGAGATTTCTATAAGATTGTTCTAGCTTAGCAAAACCTTTAACCGAACTGACAGGGGGTAACAAGAAAGATAAGCTGACAAGGAATACCGAGATGAGGCTGCATTCAATCAGTTGATGGAGAAACTGTTAAAGGAGGTGACTCTCTCGTTTCCCGATTATTCGGAAGGGGCAGCAACGAATGCTACAGCATTCGTTGACGCATCGGCTGTAGGGGCTGGAGGTTGATCAGTCAAACTGCAAGAAGGAAAGTGTAAAGTTATAGGTTATTCGTCAACTACATTTTTGCCAGTAGAAACAAGATATTAGACATTAGAAAGGGAATTAGTAGCTATTAGATGGGGTGTACAGAATTTTTCGCCGTTCATTGTCGGTACCAGATTCACTTTATATACAGAACACAAGCCTCTGTTATTTGCATAATGTGGCAATTACAAATGCTAGACTAATGCGCACGCTAAATGATTTATCACAATAGGACTTTGAAATAAAGTACCGACCAGGAGAAAAAATGAGATAGCTGATGCAATGCCCCGGGTTAGTAGCGCTCCCACTGCAGATGGTGAGGATTTGGAATTTGGAGATAGTTTACCTAGTGGATTTAGGGTGACGAAAATAAATGGGGGAAGAGATTCATTCTTTGTTGCGTTACTAATATGCCTGAATGACCTGAAATTCGATGTTGACAACCTAGATGTGCCTAAAAATGACTTGATACCTAGAGAGATATTAGTAGATGCACTTGCAGAAAACCCCGTTAAATTTAACGTCAAGAATATGTACAAAAGATATGAGGAAATCTTTTTAAGCCGTGCGTAGGAGGGGACAATTACCTAAGGGAGAGTTAATTAGTGTAGCTTGTGAATTATTCAAGATAGAAATATGGGTGCATCACGGTATGCAGTGGCCACTAGTTTACAGAAAAGTATTCTAACGAAGACCCTAAGATTCGTCTCCAGTGTACTTCAGTAATCCATTATAATCCCGTTACGTGCAGAATGAACAGTAGAAATTCAGCTAGTATAGTTGATAGTAATTTAGTTTATCTTGTGAACGGTGTAACTCAAGAAACTACCAGACAAGAAGTAGCACCTACCTGCAATGGCGAACCAGATACGGTTGAGGAGGTGTGGTCAACAGAAGGCAAGCACAATAATTCGTCTGTAGGAATTAGCTGCATATTAGAAGTAGAAAATAGGAAAATCTGTGCGTTGATCGATACTGGCTCGCAGGTATCACTAATAGGGCAAGGTACAGTACATTTTTTAGCAGAAAATAATCAGGGGTTAGAGTTCGGCGAAGTAGATAACAACGTAGTAGTAGGAATAGATAGTACAAAGACAATATTAAAGGGAGCAGTTAAGTTTGAGAGTAAAATAAACGGATTTGAAATGAATGAAAAGGTACCATTCGCTATTGTGAACGATGATGACCTGCCATGTTGTTGTTTGTTAAGAGCAAATTTTTTCATTGGGAATGAAATTAACTTAATTTGTAAAGGTTCATGTATTAATTTTAGGCGTAGGGACCAACAATATGTGACTTACGCCATAAGCAAATCTTGTCAGGATAAACCAATCCGTGCCAAGCGTGTAGGATTCCCCAGCTTGGCGCTAGCCGTTTCGACAGTAACTGACATTTCCAGCCCAGAACAATCTAGTGATGACGCTAACTCAGATGGAGAAGATAATATTGCTGTAATTTTTTTTTCACATGATAATGTTTAGTCCATTCAGCAATTTTCAGTTTCAGTTTGCAACAACCAGATTGTCGAGATTACCGGACACTCGCAATGTCCGCTTAAATGGTCTACGATTTAAACCCCAAACTTGAAAAGTGAAAATTGCTTCAAGTTGTTCATGACTCCAAATTCATCTTGTGAGTAACCTGAGCTTAATATTTTTATTTATTTTTGAACAACGGTTTAGGAATTTTTGGAAAAAGTTTATTTATCTATAGTTTCAGAAATCTTTCATCTGAAAAATACCCATTTTTAATGAGTTACAATTTTCATGTATTTTCAGCAATTAATTGTGTTCGCTTGATTGTGTTCGCGAGAAAACTCTCGCGAATCACAATTCGCGAGAAAACTCGCGAATTGTGTTCGCTTAGTTTTCTTACAAGGAAAACTTGTTTATACTCAATTCCTTGTAAATTCTTCGCAAGATGGCGGCGTAAAAGCATTTTGAAGAACAAATAACTTCCTTCAAAGCTGGCAGCCTCGCTAAACATTTGTTAACTTCAGAGTAAACATCCTCTGAACCAGTTATCCTCAATATAATTAATTGAAAGTTTAATCTTTTCCTTTCTATTAAATGACTGTTGTTTTCAGTTAATAATATTTGGATTTCAGAGTTGGGTGACAAATTCATATTGAATGCAATTTCATTTTTGTCCAGATTTACAACCGAAATTTTTATATCGTAATAAATTGCAGCGCAAAGGTTGGCCTCGGAAGCTTTATTTATTCATTTTACTGTTAATAAATGTACATTGTGACATAAGCAATAGGATTTCATTGAGCTTTCCGAAATATTCCAATCTTAATAACCGGTCAACAACAACCTCAACTTTTTACGATGTTAACCAATGTTTTCCGTTGTCGTGATTATTTATGCAGTAAGAGAATGTGTAAGGTCGTAATTATATTAGATTATCAATTTCATAATTTTTAATTGCAGCCATTTGCGGTCAAATAATTAATATAACCAGACGCCTTATTACGCAGTAAGTTCAGCTCATACATTTTGGTGTTTTATTATTATAATCATACTCATGAATTAATTTATTGTTAACAATCAATTAATTAAATAATCAATATAACCAGACGCAGTATTACGCAATAGTTCCACACTTATAATCTAAATTTTTTTAAACAATGAAGCCCACCTGTAAATTTATACATACGGCCAAAAATTCTTTTAACATTATCGTCTAAGCAAATATTTCTAAAACCCTCCAACTCAAGCAAAATTCCAGGCATGCGGAGAAAATTTTAAAGCTATTTTATACGATATTGACATCGTTAAAAATCAGGCCAACAGAAATTTGATGGACCACCTGAAATAACAATTTAGAATTTAGCCTGAATTTCCTGAGAATTTAACATGGTTATTCGAACGCTACACCAGTTGTTGTCATCAAAGTAAGGTCAAATTGTAAATATTGTTGTTTTAATTGATGTTCAGTATTGCAGTGATTCGGTGCTTCCTAATTGTGTAACTAATTTGAAATTAATAATTTAATTTAAGATGTTGCAAAAAAAACTCAAACTCTTGGGGAATTTTTTTTATGTTTTTTGGAGCTAAGTTTGATGAATGGTTAGTGGAATTTCTTAAAACCTCTCCAAGAGCCATTTTGAAACAGTCTGGACCGAAAATTTCTCCGTATCATGCACCCTGCGTCTTCATTTCCAACATATTCAAATGTGCCTCATATTGCCTCTGTTGAATTAAAGGTCAGAAATATTCATCTAAAAGGTTTCTAGCAGCTAAGAGAAAGCCATGATTTCGCCAAGATATATGAAGGCTTCACGTTATTTTTCTTTCAATCAATCTAAGGGTCAAAAAGATTATGCATCTATATTCAATAAAACAAACCTCATGATTACACCAAGAAATAACCTTGTACGAAAATCCAAGCTCGGGTTTTATGTCGAGGGAAACATATTTTTCGCACGAGCTCAAGCTCTGTTAGCTTCATAGAAGGAAGTCCCTGTAAATTGGGAGATCTCAATTCCAAATATATGCAAATTAAGTTGCAGCCGGTCGAGAAAAGCGGCCAACATGCAGTTAGAATTTTAACTCATGTTCGCTCGTCTTTTTTTTCCACGATTTCTCTTCGATTGAAAGGCTCTGTGGTCATCAATCGCATCAATTTATTCTGATGAATTTTTCCCACTGAATTTGCATTTACAAAAGGGTATGCGTTGGCTCTGGCTAAATAATGCAAGCAATGTTTTTTATTGAAACTTATATATGAAACCTTGGCATGAACTTTGATTTGCATAGGCTTTTAAATGTTTTTTTTTTCGTTT